AACCACCACCACCACCACAACCACCACAACCGCCACAACCTGAGTGAGTTTGTGAGTGAGTGACTCTATGAGTGAGTGACTATCTGAGTGAGTGACTGAGTGAGTCACTGAGTGAGTGAGTCTCTGAGTGAGTAAGTCTCTGAGTGAGTCTCGGAGTGAGTGAGTCTCTGAGTGACTGAGTGAGTGAGTGAGTGACTGACTGAGTGAGAGAGTCTCTGAGTGAGTGAGTCTCTGAGTGAGTGAGTCTCTGAGTGAGTCTCTGTGTGAGTGAGTCTCTGAGTGAGTGAGTCTCTGAGTGAGTCTCTGAGTGAGTGAGTCTCTGAGTGAGTGAGTGACTGAGTGAGTCTCTGAGTGAGTGAGTGAGTCTCTGAGTCTCTGAGTGAGTGAGTGAGTGTCTGAGTGAGTGACTGAGTTAGTGGGTGAGTGACTGACTGACTGAGTGTGTGACTGAGTGAGTGAGTGACTGAGTGACTCTCTGAGTGAGTGAGTGACTCTCTGAGTGACTGAGTGACTGACTGAGTGACTGACTGAGTGACTGACTGAGTGACTGAGTGAGTGAGCCTCTAGGTGAGTAACTGAGTGACTGAGTGACTCTCTGAGTGACTGAGTGAGTGACTGAGTGAGTGACTGAGTGAATATCTGAGTGACTGAGTGACTGAGTGAGTGACTGACTGAGTGACTGACTGAGTGACTCTCTGACTGAGTGAGTGACTGAGTGAGTCACCCTGAGTGCGCCCTGCCCGTCCCAGTAGACGGTGACCCCCAGCGAGCGCAAGGCGACGCGGAGCTGCAGTCCCTGCCGCTCCACCTGCACGGCGCCGCCCACGTACGGCAGCGTCACGCTGCACACAGACACAGGCAAAGGTCCCCCGGGTAACCTCCAGCAGGACTGTAGGGGCACTTGCCTAGGGGGTAGCGGCTAGGTTGTGAAGGTGTCAGGGCGGTGTTTAGGGGTACTAGGGGGGTACTAGGGGGGTGCTAGGGGGGTGCTAGGGGGGTACTAGGGGTTGCTAGGGGGGTACTAGGGGGGTGCTAGGGGGGTGCTAGGGGGGTGCTAGGGGGGTACTAGGGGGGTACTAGGGGGGTGCTAGGGGGTGCTAGGGGGTGCTAGGGAGGTACTAGGGGGGTGCTAGGGGGGTACTAGGGGGGTACTAGGGGGGTGCTAGGGGGTGCTAGGGGGGTACTAGGGGGGTGCTAGGGGGGTACTAGGGGGGTACTAGGGGGTGCTAGGGGGTGCTAGGGGGTGCTAGGGGGGTGCTAGGGGGGTACTAGGGGGGTACTAGGGGGGTACTAGGGGGTACTAGGGGGGTACTAGGGGGGTGCTAGGGGGTACTAGGGGGGTACTAGGGGGTACTAGGGGGGTGCTAGGGGGGTACTAGGGGGTACTAAGGGGGTACTAGGGGGTACTAGGGGGTACTAGGGGGGTGCTAGGGGGGTGCTAGGGGGGTACTAGGGGGGTGCTAGGGGGTACTAGGGGGGTGCTAGGGGGGTACTAGGGGGGTACTAGGGGGGTGCTAGGGGGGTGCTAGGGGGGTACTAGGGGGGTGCTAGGGGGGTGCTAGGGGGGTACTAGGGGGGTACTAGGGGGTACTAGGGGGATGCTAGGGGGGTGCTAGGGGGTGCTAGGGGGGTACTAGGGGGGTACTAGGGGGGTACTAGGGGGGTACTAGGGGGGTGCTAGGGGGTACTAGGGGGGTGCTAGGGGGGTACTAGGGGGGTGCTAGGGGGGTACTAGGGGGGTACTAGGGGGGTGCTAGGGGGGTACTAGGGGGGTGCTAGGAGGGTACTAGGGGGGTGCTAGGGGGGTACTAGGGGGGTGCTAGGGGGGTGCTAGGGGGTACTAGGGGGGTACTAGGGGGGTACTAGGGGGTGCTAGGGGGTACTAGGGGTGCTAGGGGGGTACTTGTGCTCGTCGTTGACGTCGATGGCACCGTCTCCCAGCAGCTGGAGGCGGCTCCCGGCTGCCGCCAGCTCCACGCTGGCGAGGCGCCCCCCGGCAGAGCGCCGCGCCAGCACCGCCACGTGCCCCTCGCTCGCGTCGCTGGTGCGCACCTGAGCACGTGCAGAGGAGCAGTTGGTGACGCGGTGGCGTCGCAGGAAGTGACGTCGGGCACAGGGGGCACGACGTCACTTCGCACCGTGCGTATCCGTGTTTCGGTTGGGTCGCCGCCATTTGGATTGTTCAAGTTCAAGTTCATTGATTAGGTATAGCCCTGTGAGCCCTTCGGCTCTTGAATCGGGTGCAACCGCAACAAACAAAAAACAAAAACATGAACAAAAACATCTTAAAGTGACTATGTGACTGAGTGCAAACAGAAAATCCAAGAAAAGACAGCAAAATATTGCAGAAAAGAATCAGCGTACACCAGAGACACTTGTAGAGGTACCCATTACACAAACATAAAACACGCTCTGCTAGTCTGTGATGATGCATCGTCCCTGAAACTCGTTGGTCCACACCAGAGACAGCTTTGTTTAGAGCCCAGTCTCAAACGACGTTAGGGGCCGTCCATAAATGACGTCACGCGATTTTGGACTTTTTTAACCCCCCCCCCTCGTCACACGTCATAAAAACTCAGACTCCCCTAAAATATGACGTCACAAAGCTCTGCCCCTCCCCCCAAACCATATTTCCATTTTTGAAAATAAAACATGCTTCAAATCGCTTTAAACTATTGTCATTGTAGTGCGTATTTAATGTGGCGCTGCACTCTGATGTTGTAGGAGAAAACATTTATTTAAAAGTCGAATTAATTAAGTAGAACGTGTTGTCTATATTTATTTAAAGTTGTGCATTTTGATGTGACGTCACATTTCTCACCCCCCCCCCCCCTCGTCACAAATGTCTGACCCCCCCCCCCCCCCCAGTTGCGTGACGTCATTTATGGACGGTGAACAGTGCCAGGACAATGCCACCATGAGTACACTGAGATAAAACACTTTCAAAGACAACGCATCATCACACACTACTAGAGCGTGTTCCTTCACTTCATACTCTTCGGCTCTTTGGGTAAAGTGACGTAGGTAGAAATAAAATAAAATAAACCAAATCACGACGTTTCGATCGCAACACAAGCGATCTTCATCAGGTGGGACAATCGCGGCGAGTAAATGCTGAAGCCGGCGAGAAAGCTGCCGTGGAAAGAGGTAAATTAGGTAAGAAAGGAGAGAGAGAGGGGGTGAGTGCTAGGGGAAGAGGACGTGAGGCTGTTCCTTTCAAAAGTTTTCAGTTTGGTGTTTTACCATCTGAACACAACCTCCTGTTGTGTCATGGCCAGAAGGGGTCAAACCCTATTCTTGTTTACAGGCAAGGGAGGTCCCATATACACAATACAGAGACAAAGGAGCCCCGGGTAGCCTCAGCAGACGGCAGGGGCAAGTGCTGTTAGTAGCGAGTAGCAGCACATAGTGTATAGTAGTGTAGTGTATAGTGCAGTGTATAGAGTAGTGTATAGTGTAGTGTGTAGTGTACGTCAAAGTAGTGTATAGTGTAGTGTATAGTAGTGTAGTGTGTAGTGTATATTGTACGTTATAGTAGTGTATAGTGCAGTATGTAGTGTATAGTATTGTAGTGCATATTGTACGTTATGAGTAGTGTATTGTTCTGCCTCACGGCAGGTGTAGAGGTGTGTGTACACAGGAATTTTCTGTTTTGATGCTGAGATTGGTCACGTGACCAGGAAGTTACGATTTAAGATTCCCTCTCAGCCACGCGGCAGGGTGTCAGCCATTACCCAGAGTACAAAATGGAGGCACAAATGGCATCTCAGTGAAGACAAGTGCATCTGTTCATTGTGGAACGTTAATAAGCATTGTCTGTAAGTTCTTTTATGTTCTTATAATACTGGGAATGCTGTTATAATGACCGTTATAATGCTGTAAATGCCTTTATAATGCTGTTAAATTGTTATGATAAATATGAGGCCTAGTTAACAACGAAGCCTGCCACTTGCATTATTGTGAATGTTACTTGTAATTAAATAAGTCGAGTCAGACTCGTACCAATGTAACCTTATTGCGATCTTGAGAGCAAGGATGACGAAATGTCTCATTCACAGTTCAGTGTTATGTGTAGTGCTGTACATTTAGGCTGCAGTATGGTGATTACATGATGTGCCCTTACTTAACACAGTAGCTTATTCTCTTGTATAGCTATTCAGTACTAATGTGGGTGCCTGGTCCATCCAGGATCTATTGTTGAGTTTCATGTGATCTAAGACTGTTATGATGCTGTAGTGTTCATTCATTGTATTGATATCACCAAGTATTAACATATGCTGTATTTGTGCTGTGTTTTTATATCAGTTTTACCTCGTTCAATTCATTAAATACTTTTGGAGTCGGATGTTCACCCTGGCTCTGAAGGTTTATTGAATGCGAGGATATAGTGGTGCAACGCAGTGCACAGCGAGGCCGAGACATGTATAGTGTAGTGTATAGTAGTGTGTACAGTTGTGTATAGTTGTGTATAGTCGTGTAGTGTATAGTAGTGTAGTGTATAGTAGTGTAGTGTATAGTGTAGTGTATAGTAGTGTAGTGTATAGTGTGTGTGTTGTGTCTGTAGTCAGTGTTGTGTCTGTAGTCAGTGTTGTGTCTGTAGTCAGTGTTGTGTCTGTGTTGTGTGTCTGTAGTCTGTGTTATGTGTCTGTGTTGTGTGTCTGTAGTCTGTGTTGTGTGTCTGTGTTGTGTGTCTATAGTCTGTGTTGTGTGTCTGTGGTCTGCGTTGTCTGCGTAGTCTCCGCACCATCTCGAAGTTGCAGGCGCTGGAGAAGGCGAAGTGGAAGCCGTCGAAGGTGCGCACCTGCCCCATCCCGTACAGCGAGCACCAGCCGGGACCCTCAGCACCTGTGCCGTGCGTGGGGGGAGTGGGGGTGGGTGGGGGTGGTGGCGGGTGGGTGGGGGTGGACGTGGTGGGGGGGGGTGGAGGGGGGGGTGGAGGTTGGGGAGGTGGTGGGGGGGTGGAGGTGGGGGGGGTGAAGGTGGTGGGGGGGTGGAGGTGGGGGGGTGAAGGTGGTTGGGGGTGGACACGGAGACTCAGACAGTGAGACTCACCACACAGAGAGACTCACCACAGACACTACACTACACTATACACTACACATTACACTACACCATACACTACACATTGCTACACACGCGCGCTGCCACTGTGCACGTGAATGTGCTATCGTGCACACTCACGGCTCTGGTCAGGTTTTTTCTCAGCCTTCGATGATGACGACACTGGCGATGGTGAGGAGGTCTTGCTCTCTGTAAACACGACACGCGCACCTCCCGTTAGCACAGTTCGTTATGTACGGTACGTTAAAAGTTCAACATGCCTACACTATACACTACACTATACACTACACTACTATACACTACACTACTATACACTACACACTACACTATACACTACACACTACTATACACTACTATACACTACACACTACTATGCACTACACTACTATACAACACACTACTATACACTATACACTACACTATACATTACACTATACACTACTATACACTACACTACTATACACCACAATGCTATACACTATACACTACTATAACGTACAATATACACTACGCTACTATACACCACACTACTATACACTGTACACTACACTATACAGTACACACTACTATACGCTACACTACTATACGCTACACTACTATACGCTACACTACTATACAATACACTGTTATACACTACACTATACACTACAACACACTACACTACTATACACTACAACACTATTCTACATTGATAACTCATTTCTTCTTCTTGTTGTGCGTTTAGTTTGTTGTCCCCCCCCGCACCTCCGATCAGCACGGTTAGCTACGTACGGTGGTGCAAAATAAGTTCAACACACACACGTCCACACAAAAGTCCCCCGTATAGCCTTAACAGACTGTAGGGGCAAGTGCTGTTAGCGAGCACCTATGAAGGCCAGAACGGTACACGAGGGGGTGGGTGGCCAGCACCACGCCCGACCGCCTTTGTCTCCCCAGTGGCGATGTTTACACACCACACCAGGTACTCATTTGAGGCTGAGTCGACCTAGGGGAGGACCAGGACCGGTTCAGATAGTGTAGTGTATAGTGTAGTGTATAGTAGTGTAGTATACAGCAATGTAGTGTATTGTAGTTTGTAGTAGTGTAGTGTATAGTAGTATGTAGTAGTGTAGTGTATAGTGGAGTGTATTGTAGTTTGTAATAGTGTAGTGTATAATAGTATGTAGTAGTGTAGTGTGTAGTAGTGTATAGTGTACTGTGTAGTGTATAGTAGTGTATAGTGTAGTGTATAGTAGTGTATAGTGTAGTGTATAGTAGTGTATTGTGTAGTGTATAGTAGTGTGTAGTAGTGTATAGTGTAGTGTATAGTAGTGTGTAGTAGTGTATAGTGTACTGTGTAGTAGTGCAGTGTGTAGTGTATAGTGTACTGTGTAGTAGTGTATAGTGTAGTGTATAGTAGTGTGTAGTAGTGCAGTGTGTAGTGTATAGTGTAGTGCAGTGTGTAGTGTATAGAAGTGTGTGAGTATGTAGAACTTATTTCCCACCACCACCGCACATAGCCAATCGCGCTAATCGGAGGTGCGGGGAAGGTCATCAAACTACACATCGAGTCCACGGTCATCCCCTGTTAGTTCCGGTCTTAGAGGAGGATGGGTCAACACTTGCTGCTGCTGTTGTTGTAATATAGAGTGGCTGAGACACTCACTGCTCTTGTCATCCGCGTTGTCGGCTGACGTTGATGCCTTGTTCTCTGTGAACACGACACACGTGGGGAGTTAAACCTCGCAGCGTCCAGTGCGTGTATGTTGAACTTCTTTCGCACCGTACGTAGCCAACCGCGCTAACCGGAGGCGCTTTTCTTAACTCCTGGATACTCTATCCCTGATCTCTCCTTGAGTCGTTCTCACAACGGTCGTATAAAATCAACTTGAGCAGAGATTCACATCGGCAGTATAGCAGGACAATTGGGGGATTGTTGTATAAACACCAGATTTCATGCCCTTTTTGGGATTCATCGGCACAGCTGTAAGCCATTGTTGCTTCCTGCTTCATATAACCCTCTGCTGCAGCAACAGAGCCACTCTGTGTGTGGTATATCTGCTTCGACGGTTTTATGAGAACATAGACATATTCTTAGGTTTTTTTCGGTAAAGTCACGTAGGTAAAAAATTTGAATTAATAAAAGTAAAATAAAAATAAAAAATTCACGACGTTTCGGAAGCAACACAAGCCTCCGTCTTCAGGTGGAACCGTCACAGCCACGACAGCTGTATCAAGTAAATGAGAGATCACAAGAAATACCACCCCGTATATATATAATGGTTGAGGGGGGAAGGGCCAGGAATGGCACACTTTTTATTAATATGGTAAGGTGAGGCTTAAGACTAAGAATAGACTGCATAACAAAGGACTCATTTAATTTTTTTACCCACGTGACTTTACCGAAAAAACCTAAGAATATGAATCCTTGCAGTCACGAAAGCTTCAAATCTAAAGAACAGAGACACTCACGGCTTTTGTCGTCAGTCTTCTCGGCTGACGATGACGATGTCTTGCTCTCTGTGAACACGGCAGATGTGGTTGAGTTAAACCTCACAGCGTTCAGCCCAACCAGCTGTACGTATATGTGTGTGTTGGACTTCTTTACCACCATACATGGCCAACCATGTTAATTGGAGATGCTACTTCATCATGAGGCCTCCTTTGCCAGTAGCAAAATATAATAATATGTTTTTTTACCCTTTTTTCTGGCAACAAAACTGAAACCTTTTTTACAAGGAATCATGTTTGCATTAACCACAATAATATATGCACTGTCCTTGAAGTTGATTGGTCCAACCCATGTGAGACTAGGCTCTAATGAAAGCTGTCTCGGGTGTGGACCAATCAACTTCAAGGACAGTGCATATATTGCATATATTTTCAGAGTTATGTGTTTTGTTTGCATTATGACTGCAGGTATTGTGGTCTATTCAAACATGACTCCTTGTAAAAAAAGGTGTCAGTTTTGTTGCCAGATAGAAGGTTAAAAAAACAATTATCAAGTTCAACATACACACACTACATACGTACAGATACCAGCGCAGCGTAAGCCATCACTGCTTACTGTTTCACACACCCCCTCCGCTGCAGTGATAGAGACGCTCTGTGAGATATCTGCTTCGACGATTCATTGAGAACAGAAGTCTTGCTGGTGTGAGAGACATTCAAGGATAACGAAATACGAAATAAAATGTTACCCCTTTCAGGCAATACGATAGGAGTTGTGTTAAGATGTTCAAACACCAAATATATACAACAGTGATGCTGCTAATCCTGCATATGCAAATTATTTTGTCAAGGCGCTCTTCCCCCTCCATCCCAGCTTAAATAGACGCTCCAAGCCTGGGGTGTGTCATTCAGACTCTGTCTTCTCGACAGACCTGTTCTTCACCTGAAAAAAGTGAAAAATGGGTTTGGATTCCCCTCTCATTATAAAGAAATATTCTGATTCTGAGTTGGTGGCTCAGGTCGGACAACAAAGACCCCACCACCGTATAGCCTCAACATGGTAGTGAAAACATACAACAAGAGTGTTTTACCCTTCATGGCAACAACACAGGAGTTGTGTTGAAATGTTCAAACACCAACTAGATGTGACAGGTACTATTCTACTTTACCGAGTGTTGACATCCCCAGCGTTTAACAGTACTCTCCTTTTTGTATTTGGATTGTCAGCCAACACCGGGTACAACAACATGTGCACCTATTGTTCTCTTTTAGCCCCGCCCACCCCCCCTCCAACACGTTCCATTCATTGGCTACCACATTCAGATAGGCCCCTCCTCCCTCCTCTCCCTTAACTTGTATTTAAGAGTTTGTCTCTTGGAATTTTGCCTCACTTGATACAGTAAATTTAGCTGTGACGATCCCACCTGATGACGGAGACTTGTGTTGCCTCCGAAACGTCGTGATTTTTTATTGTTTTATCTCTTTTATTTAAATTTTTATTACTTATTTTTACCTACCTGACTTTACCGAAAAAACCTAAGAGTACCAACTAGATGCCTCTGTGAAAAAGACCTCTAGCAAGGGATCATCAAGTCCACATTTACCACAAATCGTACTTGTGGCAAAATATACCAACAAACTTGGTCTGATGATATCCATAATAATGTGTGCATTCTCTTTGATACTGATTGGCCTACTGCACCAGAGACAGCCTTCTTTATGGCCTTGTTTTCGCACCAGTGTTAGACCAGAGAATGCCAGAAACTAACATCCACTTTCTAGTTTATCAGCTAAGGCCCACTGAGCTATGTAGCTCCTTTTCAGAAGCGACCTGGCCACAAATGATAGCTCAGCCAAGTGGTTGATCACGTGGAAATGTACAGCAGCCAAATACTCTAAACGCGTCAACGTTGATTCTAAACGTAGAGGGGAAAACCGAGTGACCCAAAGAAAAACCCACGCGACCACAGGGAGAATATGCAAACTCCAAATATACAACAGGAGTTAGGGTCGGGATTGAACCCATGACTCATGTATACCAGGCAAGGTAGTTAACGTCTTGCAACCGCGGCAAAAGATGAACAGTACAAAGACAACGCAAGTCATATCAGAGGACTTATCGCTCAGGTCGAGCAGTTATTTGGTTTGAAGCCCTTAACACAAGTCCTGTTTCATTGCCAGAGAAGGGTAACCAAACATATTTTTGCATTTCATCATTTTCGATACTGGAAAAAAAGGTCCCAAAGAGACACTCACTGCTCTTGTCGTCTGTTTTCTCAGCTGATGATGATGACGTCTTGTTCTCTGTGAACCCGACAAACGCGGTTGAGTTAAACTTCACAAGGTCCAACTCATCCATCTGATACTCTTAACTCTTGGCCACTTGCAACTGGACTCCTCTATCCCTGGTCTCTCCTTGAGTCCTTCTCACCCCGATCATACAAAATCAACTCAAATAGAGACTCACAACGGCAGTATAGCAGGACAATGAGGGGGCTTGTATAAACACCGGGTTTCATTCCCTTGCTCGGAATCATCAGCACAGCGTAAGCCATCCTTGCTGACCGTTCATAACCCCCCTCCCCTGCAGTGACAGAGTGACTGTGTGAGATATCTGCTTCGACGGTTTTATGAGAACAGGCGTCTCGTTGGTGTGAGACACTCACGGCTCTTGTCATCCGTCTTCTCGGCTGACGATGTCTTGTTCTCTGTGAACCCGACAGACGTGGTTGACTCAAAACCTCACAGCGTCCATCTCAACCACCTGCACCTCTTAACTCCTGGCTACTCTAACAAACGGGGCTCACTCTATCCGTGGTCTCTCCTTGAGTCGTTCTCACCCTGATTGTGCAACATCTACGTGAGCAAAAAGTCAAAATGGCAGCAAGCAGGAGAATGGGGGACTGTTCTATGAACCCCCTGGGTATTATCCCTCGTTGGGAATCATCAGCACGGTATCGTCATTTTTGCTTACTGCTTTATAAACCCCTCCCTGCAGTGACAAAACCAATCTGTGAGATGTCTGCTTTAACGGTTTTACGAGAAAAGGCGTCTTGTTGGTGTGAAACACTCACGGTTCTTGTCATCTGTGTTCTCGGCCGATGATGACGACGATGATTTCTTGTTCTCTGTGAACACGACAGAAGCGGGGAGTTAAATCTCACAGCGTCCGATCACCTGCTGTTCTCTGGGAAACGGACAGATATGGTTGACTTAAAACGTCACAGAATGCATCTGAACCACCTGCTCCTCTAAACTCCTGGTCACTCCTGACAACGGGACTCTGTCTACCCCTGGTTTCTCCTTGAGTCGTTCTCATCCCCGTCGTACAAAATAGAGACTCACAATGGCAGTATAGCAGGACAAAGGGCGGACTGTTGTATAAACACCGGTGTTCATCCCCTTGTTCTGAATCATCAGCACAGCGTAAGCCATAATTGCTTACCGCTTCATAAACCCCCTCCCCTGCAGCGACAAAGGCAGTCTGCTTCGACAATTCATTGAGACGAGGTATCTCACTGGTGTGAGACACTCATGGCTGATTTAAAATTATAGTATTTTACCTTCTCTGGCAATAAAACAGGAGTTGTGTTAAGATGTTCAAACACAACTAAGATATCTTTGTGAAAAATACATTTTGCAAGGCATCAAATCTGCATTAACCACACCATCATTCTTGTGGCAAAACATGGAAGCAATCCTGCTAATGTTGCGCCATACCAAGGCGCTGTGGGTATTCTTATGGTCACCACCCTCACAGTCCGATAGGGGGCGTCTGAGAGAGTGAGTGGTTGAGCTGGGAAATAGGGGCCAACAGTTCATTCCAGACCCTTCCAGAGACTTCTGGAAGGTTTTGGAGAGGTGTGGTTAAGGGCGGGGTAAGCCCCAACTTGTGTATAAAAGCTGGCCATCTCAACGGGACCGGCAGTGTACGTCCACTCAATACCCGAACGCCTGAAGACTAGACCAGCACCCTGGGACCATGAACCGAGGCTCTTGTCAGAGCCGGGTTGCAGCAGACCAGTGGTGGGACCCGTACCCTGGCTAGGTCGGGTCAGGTTAGCCTCCCCTAACCCCCGTAGCGGAGGACCCACGAGAGCGTAGCCCGGAGTGTGTAGGGCACGCTAGAAGGGAGGCTGTACCTCCCTTAGGTTATCGGGTGATGGGGCCGTACCCCGTAGTGTTACAGGGGCCATAGCTGTAAGTGTTACGGCTATTGGCGTTGTTATCGTTTATTGAAACAAACACGTTGCCTCCAAGAAGTATCGCTCCACGTTCATACCCACAACACTAACAATAAAATAGCATTGTCGTTGAAACTGATTGGCCTACACCAGACACAGTCTTCTTTGTGGCCTTGCACCAGTGTTAATAGAGCAGAGATCGCCAAAAGGTGAACAGGACAAAAGACAATGCAAGTACTTTCCGAAAGCTCATAGCTCAGCTCGAGCAGTTATTTGGCGTTTTAACCATTTAACACAACTCCTTTTTTATTGTCAAAGAAGGCTAAACACCTATTAGTATTTTTCATAATTTTTGATAGTCCTGTCAACAAGGTCCCATCGAGAGACTCACTGCTCTTGTCGTCTGTCTTCTCAGCTGACGATGACGATGTCTTGTCCTCTGTGAACACGACAAACATGGGAGAATAAAACAATCACGGCGTTCAGACACTCAACGACCGCTCGCTCACCACCACTCCTCTGACATGAGCATGACAGTCAGACTCAGATTGGTTAACTTGTCAATCGCTCGCGAGATATTTTTTTAGTAGAAAAAGACCAAGAGGAAGGGCAGGACCAGAGACGATCAACCTAATCAACATTCGAACAGGAAGAAAGGGGCAGGCAGCGAAGAGATCAGCGGAAGTCAGAGAGGAACCTGCAGCAGAAAATTGGTGCCATTGACCTCTCTATGGGCAGAACGTTTCATGCACGAATAAATGGCTGAATGAAGGTCACGGTTCATTCACAATTCAACACCATGGGTGGCTAGCTCCTGTACCGGTTATTCCTGAGCTCTGGCTCTGTGCAATGTGAATGGCCGCATGCTGGGAGATGAGAGTGTCTCACACGGGCGAGGGGATTTACAACGCTGGGTGAGACACTCACGGCTTTTGTCGTCTATCTTCTCGGCTGACGATGACGATGTCTTGTTCTCTGTGAAACCCGACAGAAAATGGTTGACTTAAAACCTCGCAGAATCCATCTCTCCTTGAGTCGTTCTCATCCCCATCGTACAAAATCAACTTGAACAATGACAGTATAACAGGACAATGGGGGGACTATTTCGATTTAAAGCTTTCAAGACTGCAGGGATTCATCTTATTGGTTCTTTCGGTAAAGTCACGTAAAAGGGAAATAATAAAATAATAAAAATTAAACATAATAAAATCATTCTCACGACGTTTCGGCTACAACGCAAGCAGCCGAAACGTCGTGAGAATTATTTTATTATGTTTTATTTTTATTATTTTATTATTTCCCTTCTACGTGACTTTACCGAATGAACCAAGAAGATGAATGGGGGGATTGTTGTATAAACACTGGGTTTCATTCCCTTGTTCGGAATCATCAGCACAGCGTAAGCCATCGTTGCTTACCGCTTCATAAACCCCCTCCCCTGCAGCGACAGAGCCACTGTGTGAGATATCTGCTTCGACGGTTTTATGAGAACAGGCGTCTCGTTGGTGTGAGACACTCACGGCTCTTGTCGTCCGTCTTCTCGGCTGACGACGTCTTGTTCTCTGTGAACCCGACAGACGTGGTTGACTTAAAACCTCACAGCGTCAATCTCAACCACCTGCACCTCTTAACTCCTGGCTACTCTAACAAACGGGACTCACTCTATCCGTGGTCTCTCCTAGAGACGTTCTCACCCTGGTTGTGCAACATCTACTTGAGCAAAGAGTCACAATGGCAACAAGCAGGACAATGAACCCCCTGGGTATTATCCCTCGTTGGGAATCATCAGCACAGTTTCGTCATTGTTGCTTACTGCTTTGTAAACCAATCCCTGCAGTGACAAAACCAATCTGTGAGATGTCTGCTTCAACGGTTTTACGAGAAAAGGCGTCTTGTTGGTGTGAGACACTCACGGTTCTTGTCGTCTGTGTTCTCGGCCGATGATGACAATGATGATGTTTTGTTCTCTGTGAACATGACAGAAGCGGGAAGTTAAACCTCACAGCGTCCGACCACCTGCTGTTCTCTGGGATACGGACAGACATGGTTGACTTAAAACCTCACAGAATGCATCTCAACCACCTGCTCCTCTAAACTCCTGGTCACTCTTGACAACGGGACTCCGTCTACCCCTCGCTTCTCCTTGAGTCGTTCTCATCCCCGTTGTACAAAATCAACTTGAACAGAAAGTTACAACGGCAGTATAGCAGGACAATGGGGGGATTGTTGTATAAACACCCGGGTTGATCCCCTTGTTCTGAATCATCCAAAAGCTTATAGCTCAGCTCGAGCAGTTATTTGGTCTTTTAACCATTTAACACAACTCCTGTTTTAGTGTCAGAGAAGGCTAAACACCTATTCGTATTTTTCATAATTTTTATAGTCCTGTCAACAAGGTCCCATCGAGAGACTCACTGCTCTTGTCGTCTGTCTTCTCAGCTGACGATGACGATGTCTTGTCCTCTGTGAACACGACAAACATGGGGGAATAAAACAATCACGGCGTTCAGACACTCAACGATCGCTCGCTTGACACCATTCCTCTTATCATGAGCATGACAGTCAGACTCAGGTTGACTTGTCAATCGCTAGCGAGTTATTTTTTGAGTAGAGAGATACCAAGAGGAAGGTCAGGACCGGCAACAATCAACCTTATCAACATTCGAACAGGAAGAAGGCGTGGGCAGCGAAGAGATCAGCGGAAGTCAGAGAGGAACCTGCAGCAGAAAATTTGTGCCATTGACCTCTCTATGGGCAGAACGTTTCATGCACGAATAAATGGCTAAATGAAGGTCACGGTTCATTCACAATTCAACACCATGGGTGGCTGCCTTCTGTACCGGTTATTCCTGAGCTTTGGCTCTGTGCAATGTGAATGGCCGCATGCTGGGAGATGAGAGCGTCTCACACGGGCGAGGGGTTTTACAACGCTGGGTGAGACACTCACGGCTCTTGTCGTCTGTCTTCTCTGCTGACGATGTCTTGTTCTCTGTAAACCCGACAGAAAATGGTTGACTTAACACCTCACAGAATCCATCTCTCCTTTAGTCATTCTCATCCCCATCGTACAAAATCAACTTGAACAATGACAGTATAGCAGGTCAATGGGTGGACTGTTGTATAAACACCGGGTTTCATTCCCTTGGTCGGAATTATCAGCACAGCATAAGTCATCGTTGCTGACCATTCATAAACCCCCTCCCCTGCAGCGACAGAGGCAGTCTGCTTCAACGATTCATTGAGACGAGGTATCTCGCTGGTGTGAGACACTCATGGCTGATGAAAAAATAATAGTATTTTACCTTCTCTGGCAATAAAACAGGAGTTGTGTTAAGATGTTCAAATACAACTAAGATATCTTTGTGAAAAATACATTTTGCAAGGCATCAAATCTGCATTAACCACACCATCATTCTTGTGGCAAAACATGGAAACAAACCTGCTAATGTTGCGCCATACCAAGGCGCTGTGGGTATTCTTATGGTCACCACCCTCACAGTCCGATAGGGGGCGTCTGAGAGAGTGAGCGGGAGGTGTGGTGGTTGAGCTGCAGTAAAACCTTCCCCCCTGGGTACCCCGTGACCGGGGGTAGAGACCCCAGACCCCCAAGGAATGAGGGCTGGGGGATAGGGGCCAAGGGTTCATTCCAGACCCTTCCAGAGACTTCTGGAAGGTTTTGGAGAAAGTGCGGTTAAGGGCGGGGTAAGCCCCAACTTGTGTATAAAAGCCGGCCATCTCAACGGGACCGGCAGTGTTCGTCCACTCAAGACCCAAAGACGCCTGAAGATTGGTCCAGCACCCTGGGACCCTTAACCGAGGCTCTTGTCAGAGCCGGGTTGCAGCGGACCGGCGGTGAGACCCGTACCCTGGCTAGGTCGGGTCAGGTTAGCTTCCCCTAGCCCCCGTAGCAGAGGAACCGCGTGAGCGTAACCCGGAGTGTGCAGGGCACGCTAGAAGGGAGGTTGTACCTCCCTTAGGTTATCGGGTGACGGGGCCGTACCCCGTAGTGTTACAGGGGCCATAGCTGTAAGTGTTACGGCTATTGGAGTTATCGTTTATTTGAAATAAACACGTTGCCTCCAAGAAGTATCGCTCCACGTTCATACCCACAACACTATCAATAAAAGTGCATTGTCATTGAAACTGATTGGCCTACACCAGACACAGCCTTCTTTGTGGCCTTGCACCAGTGTGAATAGAGCAGAGATTGCCAACAGGTGAACAGGACAAAAGACAATGCAAGTACTTTCCGAACTCTTATAGCTCAGCTCGAGCAGTTATTTGGTGTTTGAGCCATTTAACACAACTCCTGTTTTGTTGCCAGAGAAGGCTACAAACCTATTCTTATTTTTCATAATTTTTTATAGTCCTGCCAAAAAGGTCCCATCGAGACACTCACTGCTGTTGTCGTCTGTCTTCTCAGCTGACGATGACGATGTCTTGTCCTCTGTGAATACGACAAACATGGGGGAATAAAACAATCACGGCGTTCAGACACTCAACGACCGCTCGCTCGACACCACTCCTCTTATCATGAGCATGACAGTCAGACTCAGATTGACTTGTCAATCGCTAGCCAGTTATTTTTTGAGTAGAGAGATACCAAGAGGAAGGTCAGGACCGGTGATGATCAACCTTATCAACCGAACGTTTCATGCAAGAATGAATGGATGAATGAAGGTCACGGTTCATTCACAATTTAACACCATAATTCAACACCATGGGTGGCTGGCTCCTGTACCTGTTATTCCTGAGCTCTGGCTCTGCGCAATGTGAGTGGCCGCATGCTGGAAGACGAGAGCGTCTCACACGGGTGAGGGGTTTTACAACGCTGGGTGAGACACTCACGGCTCTTGTCGTCTGTCTTCTTGGCTGACGATGACGATGTCTTGTTCTCTGTGAAACCCGACAGAAAATGGTTGACTTAAAACCTCACAGAATCCATCTCTCCTTGAGTCGTTCTCATCCCCATCGTACAAAATTAACTTGAACAATGACAGTATAGCAGGACAATGGGTGGACTGTTGTATAAACACCGGGTTTCATTCCCTTGTTCGGAATCATCAGCACGGTATAGTCATCATTGCTTATCACTTCATAAACCTCCTCCCCTGCAGCGACAGAGCCAATGTGTGAGATATCTGCTTCGACGGTTTTATGAGAACAGGCGTCTCACTCGTGTAAGACACTCACGGTTCTTGTCGTCCGTCTTCTCGGCTGACGATGACGATGTCTTGTTCTCTGTGAACCCAACAGACGCGGTTGAGTTAAACCTCACAGCGTCCATCTCAACCACCTGAAACTCTTAACTATTGGCCACTATTGTAACTGGACTCCTCTATCCGTGGTCTCTACTTGAGTCGTTCTCACCCTGGTTGTGCAACATCTACCTGAGCAAAGAGCCACAATGGCAGCAAGCAGGACAATGGGGGACTGTTCTATGAACCCCCTGGGTATTATCCCTCATTGGGAATCATCAGCACAGTTTCGTATTTTTTTTTTGTGAGATGTCTGCTTCAACGGTTTTACAAGAAAAGGCGTCTTGTTGGTGTGAGACACTCACGGTCCTTGTCGTCTGTGTTCTCGGCCGATGATGATGACGATGATGTCTTGTTCTCTGTGAACACGACAGAAGCGGGGAGTCAAACCTCACATCGTCCGACCACCTGCTGTTCTCTGGGAAATGGACAGACATGGTTGACTTAAAACATCACAGAATGCATCTCAACCACCTGCTCCTCTAAACTCTTGGTCACTCTTGACAACGGGACTCCGTCTACCCCCGGCTTCTCCTTGAGTCGTTCTCATCCCCGTCGTACAAAATCAACTTGAACAGAAAGTTACAACGGCAGTATAGCAGGACAATGAGGGGATTGTTGTATAAACACCGTGTTTCATTCCCTTGTTCTGAATCATCAGCACAGCGTAAGCCATCGTTGCTTACTGCTTCATAAACCCCCTCCCCTGCAGCGACAGAGTGACTGTGTTAGATATCTGCTTCGACAGTTTCACGAGAACAGGCATCTCGCTGGTGTAAGACACTCACCGCTCTTGCCGTCCATCTTCTCAGCTGACGATGACGATGTCTTGTTCTCTGTGAAAATAACAGACAAAGTGAATTAAACAATCACGGCGTTCAGCCTTTACAACAACCGCTCGCCTGCCACCATTCCTCTTTTTGTGAGCGTGACAGTCAGACTCAGAATGTGTTGACTCGCTACTCGCCGGGGAGGAATTGTTTGAGGGAGAGAACAAGAGTAAGGGCAACACCGGAGATCATCAACCTCATGGGCGGTCAACCAGCAAAGACGCACGGATAGCGACGAGATCAGTAGAAGGCAAACAAATCGTGCCATGCACCGATCTATGGGCAGAACGCTTCTTGCTTAATGAAGATGGCTGCCTCCTGTACCGGTCACTCCTGAACCCTGGCTCTGTACAATGCCAGCAGCTCACACTGGGAGACGCGAGCGTGTCACACGGGTGAGTGGTTATTACAATGCGTGGGTGAGACACTCACGGCCCTTGTCGTCAGTCTTCTCGGCTGACGATGACGACGACGTCTTGTTCTCTGTGAACCGCACAGACGTGGTTGAGTTAAAAACTCTCAGCCTCCAACTCAACCACCTGATACTCTTTAACTCCTGGCCACTCTAGCAAACGGGACTCCCTCTATCCGTGGTCTCTCCTTGAGTCGTTCTCATCCCCGTCATACAAACTCAACTTGAACAGAAAGTTACAATGGCAATATAGCAGGACAATGGGGGATTGTTGTATGACACCGGGGTTGATCCCCTTGTTCTGAATCATCAGCACAACGTAAGCCATCGTCGCTTATCGCTTCATAAACCCTCTCCCCTGCAGCGACAGAGCCACAATTGGGGACTGTTCTATGAACCCCTGGGTATTATCCCTCATTGGGAATCATCAGCACAGTTTCGTATTTGTTGCTTACTGCTTTGTAAACCCCTCCGTGCAGTGACAAAACCAATCTGTGAGATGTCTGCTTCAACGGTTATACGAGAAAAGGCGTCTTGTTGGTGTGAGACACTTACGACTCTTGTCGTCTGTCTTCTCGGCTGACGATGACGATGTCTTGTTCTCTGTGAACAAGGCAGACGCGGTTGAGTTAAACCAAACATTGTTCAGCCACCCAACCTCCGCTCGCCAACCCCCATTCCTCTTATCTGTGGGTCCTTTTGTTTTGCCAGTATTATCCAACATCATCGCAATGGCGGCCAGGAGATGACAACTACCTCGCCTGGTACATGAGATCTTGGGTTCAATCCTGAACCTGATGTTTACGGCTCTCTCTCCACGTGGTCCCGTGGCTTTATCCTCCGATTTCTCTGCGGTTTTCCCTTCACATTGTTTTATTTTTATTATTTTATTATTTCCATTCTACGTGACTTTACCGAAAGAACCAAGAAGATGAATCCCTGCAGTCACGAAAGCTTTAAATCGAAAAAAATGCATATATTATCAGGGTGTGTTTTTTGTTTGCATATTGACCACAAGTATTGTGGTTAATGCACCACGTGATTCCTTGTAAAAAAGGTTTCAGTTTTGTTGGCAGAAAAAAAGGGAGAAAAACCCTATTATTATATTTTGGTACTGGCAAAGGAGGTCGAATGATGTAGATGCTTACATTACCTTGTTAAATGTCTTTTACATTAACAGGCTAAAAATCTCACTAACATAACCGCTGCTTCCTTTTCCTCAATGCGGCGGTGGCGCTTGTTGTTTAATCGGCTGAATGTGTCTCATCAACACAGCCGCTGCTGTGGGAGCCGTCCCGCGTTGACACGCTAATCTCTAATCTCTAGCAATACAATGGCTTCTTTAGCACCGTAACCTAGGGGTTACATTCACAGATTGACATGCCGAGGTATAAGTAGCTCTGCGATCTTACATTGACTTGCAAATTCCATCTCTAGCCCCGCCCACTTACCCTTGGCTTGTACCAGAGGTCGCAACCGGGTACCTGATACCCGCACCCTACCCGATACCCGGCTACCCGTACCCGTTTGCGACCCTGGTGCGGCCGGGTACGGGTACGGGTAGGCCGTGAGTCACTGGTGAGTCACCGTTTGTCAGTCATTTCCCAACGTCTTGTCTCTTCTCACAATTCAAGTTCCTAGAATCAACCCACCCGCGCCTGCAACATGGCTTCATCCCAGAGGTCGCAATCGGGTACCCGTACCCTACCCGATACCCGACCGGGTACGGGTAGCCGGGTATCGGGTAGGGTACAGGTACGGGGACCCGTTTTCGACCCTGGTGCGGCCGGGTACGGGTATGGGCAGTAGTTCTCTCGCCATTTTTCTTCCTGCCTCAGCAGTCTGCCTGCTCTATTTTTTTCACCTGAAGACGATTGCTTGTGTAGCGATCGAAACTTCGTGATTTGATTTGATTATTTTTCTATCTACGTGACTTTAACGAAAGACCCAAAGAGTAGAGAATAAAGTTGTATTGTTTGTACACATCCCAGCCACACGACCCTCGCGTAATTTCAACAAATGTTGTTTCACTCACGGTTCTTTTCATCTGTCTTCTCAGCTGACGATGATGATGTCTTGTTCTCTGTGAACCGGACACAGTTATCAATGTAGTATAGTAGTGTAGTGTATAGTAGTGTAGTGTACAGTGGTGTAGTGTACAGTGGTGTAGTGTATAGTAGTGTAGTGTGTAGTAGTGCAGTGTATAGTAGTGTAGTGTATTGTGTAGTGCATAGCAGTGCATTGTGTAGTAGTGTAGTGTATTGTGTAATGTATTGTGTAGTGTTTAGTAGTGTAGTGTATAGTGTAGTGTATAGTAGTGTAGTGTATAGTAGTGTAGTGCATAGCAGTGCATTGTGTAGTAGTATAGTGTATAGTGTACTATATCGTAGTTCAGTGTGTAATCTCTGTAAGTAGAACATCTTTCATACCCCCGCACGTTGCCAACTGTGCTAATCGGAGGTGTCGGGGGGGGGCATCAAACCACACATCGAGTCCATGGTCATCCCCCGTTAGTTCCGGTCTTAGAGGAGGATGGGTCAACACTTGCTGCTGCTGTTGTTGTAATGTAGAGTGGCTGAGACACTCACTGCTTTTGTCGTCCGCGTTGTCAGCTGACGTTGACGTCTTGTTCTCTGTGAACACGACAGACGCGGGGAGTTAAACCTCACAGCATCATACCGCCTGCTGTACGTAGACGTGTGCGCGTGTTGAACATCTTTCGCACCACCGTACATATCCAACCGCGATCATCGGCGGTGCGACTCTCAACTCCTGGATGCTCGAGCAAACGAGAGTTTCTATCGCCGGTATCTCCTTGAGTCGTTCTCTCACCCCGGTCGTACAAAATCAACAGTCTAGATCTGTGTTTTGGTTTAGTGCGCTGATCTTAAAGGTGCATTGAAAAATGTTGATACTCCGACTGATGCTCCTACTGTTGTGGAGTGACTCATGCAGCCAGCCATGGCTGCAGGGTTTTGGTAGTACATGTTGTTTACGTCGTTTATTGTGAAAATTCGGTCACAGTTCATATGATCACTGTTTCATTGCTTTCATGGCTTTATTTTGGTGATTTTCGAAAAGTATTTTGGTTTGGCCATGTTTGTTTGTTGTAGTACAGAGTTAGACTGATGGCCTTAATCTAAGTTGTCTTGTGGTTGTTGTTTGACTTGCATCCCACTGGGATATTTGAACAGGGTTGGTGTACGGTGATTTTTTTCTGCAATATTTTGCTGTCTTTTCTCGGATTTTCTGTTTGCACATATTCACTTTAAGATGTTTTCTTGTTCATGTTTTTGTTTTTTGTTTGTTGCGGTTGCACCCGATTCAAGAGCCGAATTGCTCACAGGGCTATACCTAATCAATGAACTTTGAACAATGTCGGGGGGGGGGGGGGTGGGGACTGTTGTATAAAAACCAGGTTTTCATCCCTTGTTGGGAATCATCAGCACAGCTGTAAAGCCATCGTTGCTTACTGCTTCGTTAAACCTTCCCCTACAGCGACAGAGCCGCTGTGTGAGTTGTCTGCTTCGACGATTTTACGAGCACAGACGGCTCGCCGGTGTGAGACACTCACCGCTCTTGTCGTCCGTCTTCTCGGCTGACGATGACGACGTCTTGTTCTCTGTGAACACGGCAGACGCGGTTGAGTTAAACTGGTAGAGCGGTCAGCTAATAAAACTATGAATTATGTTTGTAATTTTACCCCGTAAGGGAACCACGGAGCTAATATGGAGCTTATTTAGTCAGAAACGACGTGGCCCATGGAGACGCACAGAGACTCATAGAGACCCAAACTCATAGAGACTCATAGAGACCCATAGAGACTCATATTCATAGAGACCCATATTCATAGAGACCCATATTCATAGAGACCCACAGAGACTCAGAGACTTATAGTCATAGAGACTCATAGAGACCCATACTCAAAGAGACCAAAACTCAGAGAGACCCACAGAGACTCATAGTCAAATAGATCCACAAAGATCCATAGAGACCAAAAAAGACCCATACTCATAGATATCCATAGTGAGAGAGACCCATACCCAGAGAGACCACATACTGAGAGAGACCCACAGAGACTCATAGAGACCCATAGTCATAGAGACCCATACCCAGAGAGACCCACAGAGACTCATAGAGACCCACACTCATAGAGACCCACACTGAAACTCCACTATTTATTTTATTTATCTCGGTAAGGGTAGCGACTGTGTAGCCCTTTTTCTGAAGCGATCTGCCTGTCACAGATGAACGAAGTAGCGGAGAATCAACATCACGTGGACATTTACAGCAAATGTAGATGGTGGTGGTTGTGTGGCGATGGTGGTGGTGATGATTGAGTGTGGTGATGGTGGTGATGGTGGTGGTGATGATTGAGTGTGGAGATAGTGGTGGTTGAGTGTGGTGATGATGGTGGTGGTGATGATTGATTGTGGTGGTGGTGGTGATGATTGAGTGTGGTGGTGATGGTGGTGGTGATGAATGAGTGTGGTGGTGGTGATGGTGGTGGTGGTGATTATTGAGTGTGGTGATGGTGGTGGTGGTGTTGATGATGATGGGGTGTGACTGTGCGCAGACGCTCCGTGAGAAACACCGCCACAGATGACGAGACACTCACTGCCAGGATCCTCTTTGGCTGCTGCCACTGACCCAGTCGTCTTCACATCTTCTGCACAGACAGACAGACTGCGAGGTCAGGATACGAACTCACACACTCACACACACACATAACAACAACCGCCATTCGCTACTAAGTGGCGGTGACGTCACCACGACGCTTGTGCCAGGCCATGTGCACCTTGAGGCCACGTGAAGTGTCGGACGCCCGTTGGCAGCAGGTCACGGGGCAGACCCAGCAGGTGCCACGGGTCGACTGACTGAGATGACTGGCTGATGCACCACCTGTGCTCCCTACTGTGCCAACTTGCTGTGCTTTAGCCACCCGGCGCTCCGCTCGTTGTTGGGAGCGTCGCTCCTCCGCCCTCCGTTGTTGTTGGAGGACGACTGCCTCCAACTGCCCAGTAGTGTCCTTCACGAGCCTCCTCCACAAAGGCCGATCTTGACACCGCTGCTACCAGTCATCGGCAGGTCCACTCAGCTCCACGTCCTCCGGTACCACATCACTCCATCTCCTCTCTAGCCCGTGCCGCGCCGGTTTAGCCCCCTCTATCCGGCTGAACAAAAGCTGTTTAGGCATGCGGTGGCTGGGCATGTGGGCTACATGACCGAGCCAACGCAGCCTTACCTGCCGGAGGAGCTCACCGATGGGACTTTGCCCAGATATTTTAAAGATTTAAGAGCTCCTGACACAATCCAGCCTGGTTAAGCCCAGGATGGATAGTAGGCAGGCCAGCCTAAATGTTTCTAACCGGCAAAGATGTCCCATTAGGGGGGTCCACGTTTTGCAAGCGTAGAGAAGGGAGGGAATGACTGTGGCCAAGAAGACCTGAAGCTTTGTGTGGAGTGACAGACCAGGTAGCTTCCACACAGCGTTACGCAACCGATGAAAAGATAATGCTGCTCGACTAATTCGGAGTGAGACCTCTGCTGTTAAACTGGAGCCGTTCATGAGCACACTGCCCAGGTATGGGAAACTCAAACAATCTCCACAACTGCCCTATCACCAATTGGGAGTTGTGTGGGTGGATTGTCCGATGGTACAAAATACCCAGGCATGGGCTTAGTTTTGGTGGGGCTGATGGTAAGGCCCCACGTCTTAGTGGCACACTCCAGGTTCAGCAGCAGTGTCTCCAACTCCTTCTCTGAATGAGCAGCAATTACCAAATCATCGGCATACATAACGTGGTTTATCAATAGGGAGCCATCTCTTGACCGCACCCGGGCATCGATCAGCCTCCCATTATATCTGTACCAAATGGAAATTTCCCCGGTACAGCTATTGAAGGCTTCACGAACTACGTGGTCGAAATAGATGTTAAATAATGTGGGAGCCAGAGGACATCCCTGTCGCACCCCAAGGTGAAAAGAGAATGACTCCGACTATCGGCCACATAGTTTTACCCGGGCCCGCTCACCATCATGAAGGTCCTTAATGATCGTGAGCAGAGTCAGGGACTCTAAAAACACGAAGAAGAACCCAGAGCCAAGGCCTACTGATGGTATCATAGGCCTTGACCGGGTCAATAAAGCAGAGATGTAGGTCTTGTTGGAATTCCCTACACCTCTCCTGTTGCAGATGGACATAAAATATGGCATCTGTGCAGGACAGCCCTTTTCTGAAGCCACATTGGGGCTCCACAAGCCTCTCCTCAGCGTGCCTAGCAAGGCGATGTTGAATAATCCTTACCAGGACCTTATCCGGCACACTGAGGAGTGAGATTCCCCTGTAGTTGTTACAGTCCGTGCGGTCCCCCTTCTTAAAGAGGGGGACCACCAGGGCATCCTTCCAATCCTGTGGAACCTATCCAGTGGTCAATACTGTTATGATGTCATGTAGGGCAGTCTGTGCACAAATGCCACCTTCCCTCAGCATTTCACTTGGGAGATCATCTCTGCCCGGTGCTTTTCCGGGTCTCAGACTCCGGATCGCCTTCAGTACTTCCTCAACAGATGGCACCTCAGCCAGCCACTCACAGGGGGTGATTTCTTCCAATATTTGAGACACCACAACCTAAGCAGAGTCATTCCCACTTTGTCCCACGATGTTTTCCCGGCTGACGGATTTCCCTCCTCATTCTTTTGTTCAGAAGAAGAGCCACTCCCTGTTGTTTGGCAGTCTCCTACCCAGAGTAGAGGACTGTCCACCCCTCATGGTGGCAGGAGCCAGAGCCGATCCACCGGACCTCCTGAATCCCACAGAGATCCAGGCGGTGCCGGTCCAGCTCCCGACAGAGGAGTGGCAGCCTCTCCTCTGCAGTGAGCGTTCGAACATTCCACATGGCCACCCGTAGTGGTTTTTTGCTGTTTCTGGAGGAATCCCGAGGGTACGGATTCAATCTCCTGGCTCCACCAAATGGGGTTTGGCCAGGATATGTCATGGATGCCTGTCCCCCCAGGGCCTCCGGCACAAGCTTCATTTGATATTTTCACACACATACACACACTACACACACACGCACGCTGTACTCACTGGGCATGGCATCTGTGGATGTCTTTGTGACGTCACTCTCCTTATCTGCAACACACAGGGGTCAATGCGTGTGTGTTGTTACTGCCATCACGACGACGACTACCACCACCCCACTCGTTAACCCATCGCGGCCTCACCGAGACTCAAGACCCATACCCATCGCGACCCACAGAGGTCCAGAGACCCACAGAGACCCACAGAGATCCATACTCATAGATACCCACAGAGACCCATACTTATAGAGACCCACAGAGACCCATAATCATAGAGACCCACAGAGTTCCAGAGACTCATAGAGACCCACAGAAACCTATACTCAAATAGACGCACAGAGACCCATAGAGACCCATATTCATAGAGACCCACAGAGACCCATACTCAGAGACCCATACTCAGAGACCCACACTCATAGACACCCACACTCCACTCATAGAGACCCACAGAGACCCATACTCATAGAGAACCACATAGTTCTAGAGACCTATAGAGACCCACATAGTCTCTCTCTGCTTGTGTGTCTCTGTGTGAGTCTCTCTCTCTGTTTGTGTGTCTGTCTGTGTGTCTACGTGTGAGTCTCTGTGTGTGTGTATCTCTCTGTGTGTCTCTGTGTGTGTTTTTCTCTGTGTGTGTCTCTCTCTGCTTGTGTGTCTGTTTGTGTGTTTCCGTGTCTGTGTTTTGTCTCTCTCTCAAATGTAGCAATCTTTGTAAGAACGTAATCAACCCGGTAGGGTGTTGACTGTTGTGTTGGCCGACTCGCTGTGTTGTATTGCATTATATTTTTAAGTTTACTAGGTTTATTTTCTCATTCATTCTTACCTGATGACGGTTGCTTGCGTTGCAATCGAAACGTCGTATTCTATTATTATTTAATGTATTTTCTTTCGACGTGACTTTACCGAAAGAACTAAAGAGTGGTGCAGTGGTGCGCAAGGGAGACAAAGGCCACCCATTCCTCTCGTGTGCCACGGTGCCAGCCTTCATCGGTACTGCTGACAGCACTTGCCCCCACAGTCTGCTAAGGCTATAGGGGGGATCTTTGTTTTTTTGTGGTGATTATTGTGTGATGGCGGTGGTAGTGATGATTGTGGGGTGGTGGTGATTTTGTGGTCGTGGTAGTGATGGTGATGATTGTGTGGTAGTGGTGATTGTGTGATATTGATGGTGATGGTAACGGTGCTGGTGATGATTGGGTGTGGTGGTGGTGGTGGTGATTGTGTGGTGGTGGTGGTGGTGTGTGTGGTGGTGATTGAGATGGTGGTGGTGATTGTGTGGTGGTGGTGGTGGTTTGTTGGTGGTGGTGTGTGTGGTGGTGATTGTCTGTGATGGTGGTGGTTGTGTGGTGGTGGTGGTGATTGTGGTGTGTGGTGGTGGTGGTGATGATTCGTGTGGTGGTGGTGGTGATTGTGTGGTGGTGGTGATGGTGATTGTGTGGTGGTGATGGTGATTGTGGTGTGTGGTGGTGGTGGTTGTGATGATTCGTGTGGTGGTGGTTTTGGTTGTTGTGGGTGGGCGATGTTGCGTGAGTCACACACTCGCTTTGATCTCCTTTGCTGCTTGCGAAGCTGTTTCTGAAACAGACACAAAGACAAAGATCTCACTCACCCTCCCACTCACCCAATGACTCACCCACTCACCCAATGACTCACCCACTCACTCACCCAGTGACTCACCCACTCACTCACCTACTCACCCACCCACTCACCCACCCACTCACTCACCTAATGACTCACCCAACCACTCACCTACCCACTCACCCATCCACCCACTCACCCACTCACTCACCACCCAATGACTCACCGGCTCACCCACACACCCACTTTGTCACACACTCACCCACTCATCCACTCACTCACCCACTCACTCACCCACTCACCCACTCACCAACCCACTCACTCACCCACCCACCCACTGGGTCACCCACCCACCACTTACGCAGTCGTCCACCCTCTCCCTGGCTGTGGTGTGAGAGTTGAACTCACGGGTCAATGCTGCTGCTGCAGTCGGGGTGGAAGTCTCCTTCTGGTTGTTGGAGGCCGCCGCGTTCAGCACTGAGCACAGCGCACAGACACGAGGGGGTCACCACGAGACACCTCACGAGTTGTGGCTCATGCCACGACAAAACCACCACCACCACCATTACCACCACCACCATACAATCATCATCACCACCACCACACAATCATCATCACCACCACCACCACACAATCATCATCACCACCACCACCACACAATCATCATCACCACCACCACCACCACACAATCATCATCACCACCACCACACAATCATCATCACCACACAATCATCATCACCACCACCACACAATCATCATCACCACCACCACACAATCATCATCACCACCACCACACAATCATCATCACCACCACCACCACCACCACACAATCATCATCACCACCACCACACAATCATCATCACCACACAATCATCATCCCCACCACCACACAATTATCATCACCATCACCACCACACAATCATCATCACCACCACCACCACCACCACACAATCATCATCACCACCACCACCACACACTCATCATCACCACCATCAGCACCACACAATCATCATCACCACCATCACCACAATCACCACTCACCCATCCACTCACTCACTCATTCAACAAATGACTCGTCCATTCACTCACTCACTCACTCACCCTCTTACTTACTCACTCACCCCCTTACTCACTCACCACACACTCAGCCACTCATTCATGCATCGTCACTCTGTCACGTGTTCTCATCGTCACAGTGCCACGTGTTCTGCACGTCACAATTTCCCGGGCTTAGCCTCTGCTTGAGATAGTGAGAGAGAGTGAGTGAGAGAGTGAGTGAGAGAGTGAGAAAGTGAGTGAGAGAGTGAGTGAGAGAGTGAGAGAGTGAGGGAGAGAGTGAGTGAGAGAGTGAGTGAGTAAGAGTGTGAGTGTGAGAGAGTGAGAGAGTGAGTGAATGAGAGAGTGAGTGAGTGTGAGTGAGTGAGTGGGTGTGAGTGAGTGAGTGTGTGAGTGAGTGAGAGAGTGAGTGAGTGAGAGAGAGAGAGTGAGTGAGAGATTGAGTGAGTGAGTGAGAGAGTGAGTGAGTGAGTGAGAGAGTGAGTGAGTGAGTGAGAGAGAGAGTGAGTGAGTGAGAGAGTGAGTGAATGAGCGAGTGAGTGAGTGAGTGTGTGGGTGAGTGAGTGAGAGAGTGAGTGAGTGAGAGAGTGAGTGAGTGAGTGTGTGGGTGAGTGAGTGAGTGTGTGGGTGAGTGAGTGAGTGTGTGGGTGAGTGAGTGAGTGTGTGGGTGAGTGAGTGAGTGTGTGGGTGAGTGAGTGAGGGATAACGACTCACCAGCCAAGCAGAGCAGAGCGACGGCAGCCCAGTGCAGTCTCATCTTGGCTGTGAAACACACACACAGTGACACACACACAGTGACACACACACACAGTGACACACACACACAGTGACACACACAGTGTGACACACACACAGTGACAAAGATAAAGATCCCCCGTATAGCCTGAACAGACTGTAGGGGCAAGTGCTGTTAGCGAGCACCTATGAAGGCCGGAACGGCAGACGAGGGGGTCGGTAGCCAACACCACGCCCGGCCGCCTTTGTCTCCCCAGTGGTGATGTTTTTACGCACCAGATACTCATTTGAGGTTGAGTCGACCTAGGGGAGGCCCGGGACCCGTTAAGACAATCGTCACCGGTGTCGGCCGTGAGCGGGAATCGAAATCGGGTGGCCGGGTTCGTAGCGCAGCGCTAACCGCTACACTACTCCTCCCCACACACAGACACACAGACAGACAGAGACACACACAGACACACAGACAGACAGAGACACACAGACACACAGAGACACACACAGACAGACAGAGACACACACAGACATACAGACAGACAGAGACACACACAGACACACAAACAGACAGAGACACACAGACACACAGACACACAGAGACACACACAGACACACAGACAGGCAGAAACACACACAGACATACAGACAGACAGAGACACACACAGACACACAAACAGACAGAGACACACACAGACACATAGACAGACAGAGACACACACAGACACACAGACAGACAGAGACACATAGACAGACAGAGACACACACAGACACACAGACAGAGAGAGACACACACAGATACACAGACACACAGACAGAGACACACACAGACACACAGACAGATACACACACAGACACACAGACAGACAGAGACAAAGACAAAGATCCCCCGTATAGCCTGAACAGACTGTAGGGGCAAGTGCTGTTAGCGAGCACCTATGAAGGCCAGAACGGTACACGAGGGGGTGGGTGGCCAGCACCACGCCCGACCGCCTTTGTCTCCCTAGTGACGATGTTTACACACCGCACCAGGTACTCATTTAAGGCTGAGTCGACAGACAGAGACACACAGACACACAGACACACAGACAGACAGAGACACACACAAACACAGACAGACAGAGACACACACAGACACACAGACAGACAGAGACACACATAGACACACGCGCACACACACACAGACAGACAGAGACACACACAGACACTCACTGTGGCACACTCTCACACTCACTCACCGTTTCACTGCGAGCCTGATGCTCTCACAGTGGTGAATGAGAAATGCAGACTCCAACACACGCTGACCAACACACACACACTCTCTGTAACACAGACACACGCACTCTCTAACACAGACTCACACTGTGAGACTCACGGACTCACACTCGAGAGCAGACTCACACACAGGTTGGTGGTGATCACACAGCCTCTATATATACACACACCACACACACGTAAGGGACTCTCCAGGTATTGACTGACCAGGTGAATCACCAGCGCATTGGGCATGACCCAAACAATAGAATCGCTATTAGTCTAATTACCCCATTCAATTACACGCAGGTACACATGTACACTCACACACACACTCACACACAGGTACACTGACATGCACACTCACACACAAAAAGATCCCCCGTGTAGCCTCTAACAGGCTGTTAGTGAGCAGCACCTACTAAGGCTACCGGCGCTGTGGCACACGAGGGGGTGGGTGGCCAGCACCACGCCCGGCCGCCTTTGTCTCCCCAGTGGCGATGTTCACTACACACCGCTACACCAGGTACTAATTTGGGGTTGAGTCGACCTAGGGGAGGCCCTGGAATGGTTCAGGTAATCGTCACCGGTGTTGGCCGTGAGCAGGAATCGAACCCGGGTCGCCAGGTTCGTATCGCAGTGCGCTAACTGCTACACCACCGCCCTCCACAGGTACACTCACATACATACACACAAATACATACACACACACAGGTACACACACACACAGGTACACACACACACAGGTACACACACAGGTACACACACAGGTACACACAGGTACACACACACAGGTACACACACACATGGTACACACACAGGTACACACACAGGTACACACAGGTACACACGCATACACAGGTACACACACAGATACACACTCACACAGGTACACACACACAGGTACACACACACAGGTACACATACAGGTACACACACACACAGGTACACACAGGTCAAAGACAAAGATAAAGATCCCCCGTATAGCCTGAACAGACTGTAGGGGCAAGTGCTGTTAGCGAGCACCTATGAAGGCCGGAACGGTACACGAGGGGGTGGGTGGCCAGCACCACGCCCGACCGCCTTTGTCTCCCTAGTGGCGATGTTTACACACCGCACCAGGTACTCATTTAAGGCTGAGTCGACCTAGGGGAGGCCCAGGACCGGTTCAGATAATCGTCACTGGTGTTAGCCGTGAGCAGGAATCGAACCCGGGTCGCCAGGTTCGTATAGCAGTGCGCTAACTGCTACACCACCGCTCTCCACAGGTACACTCACATACATACACACAAATACATACACACACACAGGTACACACACACACAGGTACACACACACACAGGTACACACACAGGTACACACACAGGTACACACAGGTACACACACACAGGTACACACACACATGGTACACACACAGGTACACACACAGGTACACACAGGTACACACGCATACACAGGTACACACACAGATACACACTCACACAGGTACACACACACAGGTACACACACACAGGTACACATACAGGTACACACACACACAGGTACACACAGGTACACACTCACACACACACAGGTACACACAGGTACACACTCACACACGCACAGCTAATAGCAGCATCAGTAGCACCACGGCACAATGGTGAATTGCGGAGCGAGTAATTGGCCAACTCCAATGAGCGAGCCTCTTCACCCCCACCCCCCCCCATTGTTGCGAGACGCGAGGGTGCGTGGCTCCCCGCACTTAGAGGCACAATGGGCTTGACCTTGTGTGCAATGAGCTCATTATCATCATCATTATCGTGGTGATCCCCGTCGTATTCTCGGCACAGGTCCAGGGCGAGCGAGGCGCGTGTCCACGTGCGTCCGGCCGAAGTGAATCGGCCAACGCAACCGCCCCCTCCCCTCAGCCAATGAATGTTGCAGGGGAGAGGGATAGCACTGAGGTGCAGCTCGCTTTTCTCAGAAGTGGCCTGGCCCATAGAGACCCACAGAGACCCATACTCATAGAAATCCCTTACTCTTAGAGACCTACAGAGACCCATTCTCATAGAAACCCATACTCATAGAGACCCACAGAGACCCATACTCATAGAGACCCATACTCATAGAGACCCATACTCATAGAGACCCACAGAGACCCGTACTCATAGAGACCCATACTCATAGAGACCCACAGAGACCCATACTCATAGAGATCCATAATCATAGAGACCCACAGAGACCCATATACATAGAGACCCATCCTCATAGAGACCCACAGAAACCCATATACATAGAGACCCATACTCATAGAAACCTACAGACCCACACTCATAGAGACCCACACTCATAGAGACCCAAACTAAAACTAAACCATGTTTATTGTTACCAGCTAAGGCCCCACTGAGCTGTGTGCAGAAGCCACGTGGCCCTCACAAATGACAGCAGCTCAGCCTAGTGGCTGATGTCGTCATCATCACGTGTAAGTGTATGGCAGCCATATTGTTCTAAACCTCCGATTAGCACGGTTGGCTACGTAGTGTGTGAAAAAGAAGTTCCACACATACACACACGTACATACACACATATACATACACACATATACATACACAGACAAATACATACACATACATACACACACATACATACACATACATACACACACATACATACACACACGTACATACAGACAAATACATACATACATACACACATACAAATACATACAAACACATACATACACACATACAAATACATACAAACACATACATACACACACATACAAATACATACAAACACATACATACATACACATACATACACACATACATACACATACACACATATATACACACACATACACACACGTACATACACACATACATACATACACACATACAAACACACACATACACACAAACACATACATACACACATACACACACATGCATACACATATATACATACATACACACATACATACGCATATATACACACACATACATACACATACATACACACACATACAAATACATACAAACACATACATACAAATACATACAAAACATACACACATACATACAAACACATACATACACACACATACAAGTTGCTTCTAAATGTGCCGGGGAAAAACCGGAGAAGGGGGCAGAAGGAGGTGGGGAGGGGAAAGAGGGGGGGAGGGGGGACGGGGGGAGGGGCCCAGGGGCATTCCAACGATACCCGGGCTACCCCACCCGGGCAGCACGAGGCACGGCTGTGGTGACGTCACACGGGGGGTAACCCGCACGCAACAATGGGGGAGTCACCCCCCTCCCCCTCTCCCACTTCAACAGACAAACACACTACATTATACACTACACTATACACTACACTATACACTACACTACTATACATTACAGTATACACTACACTACTATACACTACACTATACACTACACTATACACTACACTACTATACACTACACTATACACTACACTGTACACTACACTATACACTACACCACTATACACTACACTATGCACTGCACTATACACTGCACTATTCACTGCACTATACACTGCACTATACACTTTAGCCGCGGACATTATTTCCCCATCTACCAGCCCATGGGGAGCCCCAATTGTACTCGACAAGAAGCACAATGGCTCTTTGAGATTCTGTGTAGATTTTCGGAAACTTAACAAAATCTCCGCAGCAGATGCGTATCCGCTTCCTGGAATGGACGAGTCGCTGGATGCCTTAGTGGGGGCACGATATTTTTCTACACTGGACCTTTTGTTCAGATTTTGACAACTGCCCTTGGATGAGGCGTCCAAACCTAAAACCGCTTTTCGCACGCCACAGGGCCTCTTATAAGTAAATTGGCTGCCTATAGGCCTCCATTCGGCCCCAGCGATGTTCCAGCGTCTCATGGAACTGGTTCTCGCTGGGCTGCAGTGGGACTCATGTCTTATTTACCTCGATTATGTAATTGTCTTGAGCCATACATTCATCTCAGGGCTGTATTTGTCAAAAATGCGAGCAGCTAATCTCAAATTTAAACCGGAAAAATGCCACCTCTTGCGGGAATTGGTGCGTTACCTGGGAAATTTTGTCAGTCAGTCGGACATCGCAACTGGCCCTGAGAAAACGAGCTGCGCGCGTACATGGCCGACTCCCACTTCTGTGAGAGAAGTTAGAAGCTTCATTGGCTTCGCTTCATACTATCGACGATTTGTTGCGGGATTTGTATTAATAGCTAAACCCCTTCATGCCCTGACGGCAAAGGGGCAAAAGTTCCATTGGGGACAGGAGGGGGAGGCCGCATTCAGAGCGCTTCGAGATGCCCTTGTGAATGCCCCTCCCCTGTGCTACCCTGACTTCGCACGGCCGTTTATTCTCGACACAGATGCCAGTAATACTGGCATCGGCGGTGTGCTGTCCCAGGTTATCGACGGGGTCGAAAGGGTTGTCGCTTATGGCAGCAGGTTTTATCTCCGGGAGAGCAACGCTCCTGCGTAACTCGCCATGAGCTGTTGGCCATTGTATTCTTTATCCAGCAATACCAGCCGTATTTATACAGTAGGCATTTTACTGTACGTTCCGACCATGCGGTGTTACAATATGCCTTGAGGATTGACCAACCGTCCGGCCAATTGTCCCACTGGCACGAGGTCCTGCAGGACTGCTCGTTTACGGTAACCTATCGGAAAGGAACGAAACATTCGAACGCCGACGCCTTGTCGCGGCTGCCCGCTGGCAACAGGTGTGCGTGCTTTTCGGGTTCCGGCCGATGCAAGCAGCCCATTGTTCCTACGCACCCCACGCCACTTGTTGCTGCAGCTGAGGTGGCCGCTCCTGGGGGTGGCTCCTCTGAGGAGCCGAACGGGCTGTCCGCTCGAGATGCGTTGCTCGATTTATGCCTCACGGACTGGGAGGCGCCCCCAAATGGAGGACGACTACCCCGTTAAGTCACGCCGCCTCGCTGAGCGACTACGGGACGTACAGATTAGCGAGGAGTTCGCGCCCGTCATTCTGCGCAATGGGCTGTTGGTGGCCTTGGACGGTAGCTCTCGCCAATATAAGATTGTTGTGTCAACCGCTCTGCGCGGAAAGGCTGTTTGGGCTGCTCACGAGCGCCTCTTGCACCTGAGAGTCCACAAAACT